CGTGTTGTTCCAGTCCTCCATTTACTTACCTTCTATCTGGTTGTTCTACTTATTAAAAGTGGGCTATTATTAATACCTAGTATTATTGTTGTGCCGTCTATTTATTCCTTCAGTTCTGTCAGTGATTGCATTATATGTCGGGTGTTCTGAAGTTGCTTTATATGTTGAGTGTTCTGATGTTTTGTTACGGCCTCCTGGTTAAGTCACTTTTCTGTCATTATGCAATGTCCTCCTTTTCCTCTCGTTATGAATTTTAACTTAAAGTTCACTTCCATGGTGTAAGCATCCTGGATGGAGCAGGCACCCCTGCTCCCTTGGTTACTCTTTGCATAGAATAGCTTTTTTATCCTTTCATGTTTGGCCTATTCATGTCCTTAAATCTAAACGGGTCTTTCGTTGGTAGCATCTAGTTGGATCTTACATACTTTCTGTCCATTTAGCTATGCTGTTGGTTAAAAGGACAATGTCTTTTGATTGGGAGTTTAATCTATTTGTTTTTAAAGTAATTGATAGTGTAGCCAGGTGCGGTGGCTCATACCTGTAATCCCAGCACTTTGGGAGGCTAAGGTGGGTGGACCACAAGGTCAAGAGATCCTGGTCAACAAGGTGAAATCCCATCTCTAATAAAAATACAAAATTAGCTGGGCATGGTGGTGCGCGCCTGTAATCCCAGCTACCCAGGAGGCTGAGGCAGGAGAATTGCTTGAACCCAGGAGGTGGAGGTTGCGGTGAGCCGAGATCGCGCCATTGCACTCCAGCCTGGGTAACAAGAGCGAAACTCCGTCTCAAATAATAAATAAATAAAATAAAATAAAGAAATTGAAGGACTTATTACCATTTTCCTCATTGTTTTCTGTCTTGTATCTTCTCTGTCTTTTCCTCTCTGGCTGTGTTTTTTAGAGTTCATTGATTTTTTTTGGATAGTGACCTGCTTTGATTATTTTAGGTAGTGACATGTTTTGATTTTTTTCCTTGTTTATTTTTTGTGTATCTTTCGTAGGTTTCTTTTTGTGTTTACCTTGAGTCTTAAACAAAATATCTTATGTTTATAGCAACAACCTTCTTTAAGCTGTTAAATTCAATTACTTCTGTTTCCACCCCACCACACTTTCTGTTATTGATGTCACAAATTTTATCTTTTTATATTACATATCCATTAGCACATTGTTGTAGCTATTTTTGTACTTTGGTCTTTTCAATGCTGTATCAGAGTTTAAAGTAATTAATTTAGCACCATTACAGTATCCTGTATTTGTGTATAAATTTATCTTTACCAGTGAGTTTTATACTTTTGATGCTTTTGTGCTTCTCTAAAGTATCGTTTCATTTCAATTTGAAGGGCAGTTTCTTATAAAGCAGGTCCTGTAGTGAGGAACTCCCTCAGCTTTTATTCATCTCATAAAATATTTCTCTTTCGTCATTTTTGAAGGATGATTTTTATCAAGTATAGTATTCTTTAGTGACAGTTTCGTTTTTCTTTCAGCACACTGAATATGTTATTTCTCTCTCTTCTGGCTCACAACGCTTCTGCTGAAAAATACACTGATAATCTTATGCATGTTCTCTTGTACATGATTTCTCTAGCTGCCTGTGAAATTCTCTTTTCATCTTTGACTTTTTGTAATTTGATTTTAATATGTCCCTATGGGGTCTTCTTTGGGTTCTTCATAGTCTGCATCCAGTAGGCTTCCTGAAGCTGGATGTTCATTTTGTTCCCCAAATTTAGGAAGCTTTCAATCATTACTGTCTCAAATGAGTTTTCCTCCTGTTTTTTTTTTTCCTTTTTTCTCCTTCTGAAAATCCCATAATAATATATTGATATATTGGCCTACTTGATCGTGTCCATTATTCTTCTGTTCATTATGGGATTTTTGTTGTTGTTGTTGTTTTCATTTTTTGTTTCTCTGGCTGGACAGTTTCAAACAACCTGTCTTCAAGTTCACTGATTATCTCCTCTGCTTTATCAGTTCTGATTCAGAGTCTCTGTGGTAAATTTTTCAACTCAGTTATTGTATTCTTTAGCTCCAAACTTTCTATTTGATTCCTTTAATAATATTTTCTATATCTTTGTTGATATTCTCATTTTATTCATTCATAATTTTTCATTGAGTATCTCTATGATGGTTATTTTGAATTATTTGTCATATAATTTTTATATCTTTATTTTCTTAGAATTGGTTTGTTTTGTTCCTTTGTTTCTCTGGCTAGGTCATGGTTCCCTGTTTCTTTGTGTGCTTATTACCTTGTGTTGGGATCTGTGCATTTGGAAAAAAAAAAAAGCTAACTCTCTCAGTCTTTGTGGTCTGGCTTCACGCTGAAAGAAAAAATAAGCTTCAAAAATAAACCTGGCTAGAGATTCTCTGTGCCTTCCAAACCTTTTATAAGAGTGCATTTTCACTCCACTTGTACTCATAAATTTCCAAGTAGAGGGATTTTGCTGGTTTCTGTTTTGTAGAGCTCATATTTTCTTTCTTTTTCTGGTGTCTGCCTGTTGTGTTGCAGGTTCTGTGGAATTCCTGTGAGGTGATCAGATCGTTTTGTTTTCAGTAGTGTGCATAAGTATGCTGCATCCCATCAGTGCTTCTAGTTGGATGAGATAGAAAGCAATCCCTCAGGCAATCGCTTTAAAAGCTGGAATGTTGAACATATGCTCCTTTCTTCTCTCCCACTTTCCCTGACCAGAGAGAGGCTGACAAGGTACAGAGGCCTTGTCTACTCTACCATAGGACCTCTGGAACAGTAGGAAGCCACCAAGCTTTTCTCTGTTCTCAACAGTCTCCAGGAATCTGGGGTATGCCAGGTCCTGCAGTGCTCCAAGGCAGATAAGACAGAAACCAGTCCTTCTGATAGTACCCCCACAAGCTGGAATATCAGACACATGAATCAACTCTTTTCCGCCCCAAGGAGAAGCCATAAATTGGGAGTTTTCCTAATCATTGTATGCTGAGCGGTAGAGAGAAGCAACAGCAAGTACGTGCTAGTTCAAGCCATCATCTTCGTTTTCAGTGGCCCCCAGGCTGGTGCCATTCCCTGTCAGCTTTTAGATCCAGGAAAGACAAAAGCTAGCTCCTTGGGTAGCCTTGATGGTGCTAAGTCTAAGTGTTAGATATATGTCCAGTGTTCTCTTTCCCTCCTTGAGGAGAAGCCAGAAATTGAGAGTTTCCTTCTGACCATTGATTATGCCACCCTATGCCAAGAGGCTCTGGTAAGTAAATGCCACTAATTTTTCTACCAACTCTGACATGGCTGGTTTTGAATTCACCTGGGTTATAGGAGCCTCTTAAGTGGTTTCTGGTTTTCTTACAAAAAGAATTAGTCAGCATATTGTTGAATTTTTCTCTCCATGAATAAAGTAAGGTCTTAGGGCCTGCTATTCCACAGTCTTGTTGACATATCCAACATAAATTCTTAAAGCAATTTTGAAAGCATGCTTTATGCAAGCAAACATCACTTTCTCATTTGACTTTTGACTACAGAAATAATTGACCCATATAGAAAGCTGGTTTGTTTAAAGTGCCAAGCATATTGAATCGATGTTGTTTCTTTTTAGCTACAAAGCATTTTCTTTTACCTGTTGGCTTACATATGCTGGAAAGAAGCTGTGCCAAGTGAGAAACTGCAGAAATATTCCAGTCAAGAAATTATTTTTTTTCTTGGTCAACTGGAATGAAACGTAAGTTTAATCTTTACTCTGTTTGGATCATTTATCTAATAAAGATCAGCTTTCTCCCCCCCCCCCCACTTTTTTTAAACCAAAAGATGTGATTAAAAAAATATATGCTGCCAGTGATTTGATTCAGTGGAATGATAAATATGCTAGGGCCAATAGATAACTGACTGTTCAATTCAACAGATTGAAAGTCCATTTAGAAACCCAGACAAGTGTCCAATTCACACTATTGAACTGAGAAAAAAAGGAAATTGAAAAAAAGACTTATTAATCATTCACACACTGTGCATATCAGGAATGTGCTCTCTTTGAGATAGAAGTAGAGAGAGTCCAGAAATAACAAAGAAAAGACAACCCTCCTGATAATGTGGGTAATCTCCGTTTTCTCCATTTTCTCACATGAGCTGAAGTACAAATTTATTTAAACAATCAAATTTGTTTTACAATAAGCTTAATTTGGGGTGACTGGCTCCCACTACCTTCTTCTGTAAAGATTTGTTAAATCAAGAAGATAAAATGCTTTCCTAACATTATCACTGTCTTTCTCCCCTTTTTTCGCTCCCCACACTCAACGTAACCCTTCTCCTTACTCAGAATCTCAAGGGGCTCCTAGGCCTCATCCACGGCTTTTCCATGACTACTGCTGCATTTCTTCATGCTCTGCTGACTTGCTCTTAGTCATTTCTCTGCAGTGTCTATTACTTCACTCAGATCAATATTCCCACCTCAAGCAGAAGAAAATTCCCCAGCCTACTCTCCCTCAGCTCTTTCAGAGGATCTGGCTTTCCTAGCAGATAATTTGACTCTCAGCATGATGCTTTTCTATCAATAAAAATGTGCCCAAATTTGTAGAAGAGGGTGATGTTAGTACCATCTATCCTACTCTTAGTCTTACCGTAATCGGCGGAGACTGACTCCTGAAACATGGCGTGTGACCTTCAATTCTCACATACTTCATGGTGCCTCCCATTCCAAACTAACGCTACCTTCTTCTAGGACCATGACAATCTCTATCTCCCCTTCCTTGAGTAAGGTTATTTATTCCTTTGACCAAAGACCTGACACTCAATAATATCCCTTTTACTTTCATAGAATCAGTTCTGCCTGTAAAATTTTTCAGTAGCTCTCCAATTCTTATAAGGCAAAGTACAAATTATTTAGCAAAGCAAACAAGGCCTTCTGTGTTTTGGTCCCTACCTATCTATTTATCTTTACCTCCAGAATTACCCCCATTCCTGTTCTTGCTATCCACCAGTCATTTGCATCTTACCTACTTACCTTAACTATCCCTTGACTGTCCACCAGTCATTCTTTGCATCGGTCCACTTACCTTAACTATGATCTGAGAAGTCATGCCTCTGCCAGTGTTATTCCATGTCGGGAGCACAGTATTCCACTCGCCCATCTGGGAAACACATAATTATCCTTCAGGATGCCTCTTCCACCTCTTCTATAAACCCTCCTGGATCACTGGGTAAAACTGTCCATCTTTTCTTTCATTGCTTTGTCTAACCTGTAAATTTCTCTGATAATACTTTACTGAATGTGTGTGTTTAGATTTCTGTCTGCTCTGACCAAATGGTACAAAGATGTTTTTTAAAAAAACAAAAATTATTTAGTTGCCAGCAGCTAAGCTGCACCAGGCAGGGTAAGAGTCCAATGAGTATTATTGGGCAAGTTAATAAATCTGGTATAAGTGACTCCTTTAAAAAGTCATTAACCAAGCCAAGTGCAGTGGCTCATGCCTATAATCCCATCATTTCAGGAGGCTAAGATAGATGTATCACTTAAGGTCAGAAGTTCGAAACCAGCCTGGCCAACATGGTGAAACCTGGTCTCTAAAAACATAAAAATTAGGCAAGCATGGGACTCACACTTGTAATCTCAGCCACATGGTAGGCTGAGGTAGGAGAATCGCTCGAACCCAGGAGGCAGAGGTTGCAGTGAGCCAAGATCACTCTACCCTGGGCTACAGAGCAAGTCCCAAAGAGAAAAAAAATCATTGATCCACTCAATCCCCAAAAGTATTCTTCTGATTTAATTAAAAGTAATTTCTGGTTGTTTTAGAACATCAGATTTATTTTCAACTCACACAGTTGTGCCATCATATAGATAATTCCAGATAAAAATCTAATTCTAAAATCAATTTCAAAGAAAAGATTTAAACATAAGACCCAACACCATAAAAACCATAGAAGAAAACTTAGGCAATACCATTCAGAACATAGTCATAGGCAAGGGCTTCATGACTAAAATACCAAAAGCATTGGCAACAAAGGCCAAATAGACAAATGAGATCTAATTAAACTCCAGAGCTTCTACACAGCAAAAGAAATGGCAACCAACAGAATGGGAAAAAATTTTTGCAATCTACCCATCTGACAAAGGACTAATATCCAGAATCTACAAAAAACTAAAACAAATTTACAAGAAAACAGCAACTCCATCAAAACTGGCCAAAGGATATGAACATTCACTTCTCAAAAGAAGACATTTATGCAGCCAACAAACAAAAGAAAATGTTCATCATCACTGGTCATTAGAGAAATGCAAATCAAAACTACATTGAGATACCATCTCATGCCAGTTAGAATGATAATCATTATAAAATCTGGAGACAACAGATACCGGAGAGGATGTGGGGAAATAGGAACACTTTTACACTGTTGGTGGGAGTGTAAATTAGTTCAACCATTTTGGAAGACAGTGTGGCGATTCCTCAAGGCCTTAGAAATAGAAATTCCATTTGACCCAGCAATCCCATTACTGGGTATATACCCAAAGGATTATAAATCATTCTATTATAAAGACACATGCACACATATTTCATTGTGGCACTTTTTACAATAGCAAAGACTTGGAACCAATCCAAATGCCCATCAATGATAGACTGGATAAAGAAAATGTGGCACATATATACCGTGGAATACTATGCAACCATAAAAAAGGATGAGTTCATGTCCTTTGCAGGGACATGGATGAATCTGGAAACCATCATTCTCAGCAAACTAACACAAGAACAGAAAGCCAAACACCACATATTCTAACACATAGGTGGGTATTGAACAATGAGAACAAAGGGACACAGGGAGGGGACCATCACACACTGGGGTCTGTTAGGGGGTGGGGGGCTAAGGGATGGATCACAGGGGTGGGGAGATTGGGAAGGAATAACATTGGGAGAAATACCTAAAGTAGGTGATGGGGGATGGAGGCAGCAAAGCACCATGGCATGTGTATACCTGTGTAACAATCCTGCAAGATCTGTACATGTACCCCAAAACTTAAAGTATAATTTAAGAAAATCTGAGTGCTAATTCTTATACTTACTGATTAATTTGGCCCAGTCCCCACAATCAGAAAGCGTCAGCGCTAGCATTTAGACCCACTGTGACTCCTAAGCTGACAGTTTTACTGTGACTTGCATACTTTTTCTTACAGCATATAAAATGTTGAGAAGAGTATTTACATCCCATGAAAAGTACTCACGTTTTAAATTAAGTAAAATAATAACAACCTCTGTTCTCCATTCTCCTGCCAGTGGCTATCCCATTTCTTTTCTCTGCTTTGTAATGAGACCTCCCAAATAACTACCTACATTCACTTCATTCAGTTTTTTTTGTCTGCTGTATAACATACTCCAATCAAGCTTTCATCACCTCTGCCCCACTGAAATTGTCACCAGTAACCTTCATGGCTAAATCCCACGTTTGTTTCTCAGTCCTCATTTGACATGACCTGTCAGAAGCTTTGGCACTGTCGATCTCACGCTCCATCTTGAAATTTGCTTTCCACATGACTCTTACCTCACTGGCTGTTTGTTCTTCATGTCCTTTCCTTCTCCCGGACTGATTATAATCTTAGCCCTTAACCCTCTTCTCTGTGATGTATGTCATTATTCTCTCACTTTTCACTAATGGTTGCATGCCTTTAAATACCATTTATCTGCCAACAACTCCCAAATTTATAACACCAACCCAGGCATCATTCACAAACTCCACACTTAGAGAATCAATATGTCTTAAACTAAATTTTTGATCTTATATTTCAAACCACTCCACCCATGGATGGCCACTCTGGATAATCAATTCTAATTCTAGCTGGTCAGATCAAAATCCTTAGTCTGAATCTCCTTTTAGTCCCCATGTTCAGAAAATCCTCCTAACTCTCTTCTCAAAACATATCCAGAATACGTTCTCATCACCTCCAGTGGTCTAAACAACCATCATCTCTCCTCCATATACCACAATGGTTGTATAATGGTCTCCCTACTTCTCTTACACCTTTATAGTCCTTCTTGCACAACAGCTAAAGTGGTCTCTTTAAAATATCAGTCAAGGCCTGTCACTTTTGGGTCTGAACATCCTGAACTGGTTCTCCATTTTACTCAGTGAAAAGATAAAGTCCTTGCAATGGCCTCCTGGTTTTATTTTGTCTCAGTATTAATAGGAGAGTTCTGAACAATGTAGCTTTTAGTGAGGTGCAGTGGCTCACTCCTGTGATCCTAGCACATTAAGAGATGGATCATTTGAGATCAGGGGTTCAAGACTAGCCTGGCCAACATGGCAAAACCCCATGTCTACTAAAAATACAAAAATTAGCCAGGTGTGGTGGCCTGCACCTGTAATCCCAGCTACTCAAGAGGTTAAGGCAGGAAAATCACTTGGACACAGGAGGCAGAGGTTGCAATGAGCTGAGATGGCACCACTGCACTCCAGCCTGGGTGACAGACTGAGACTCTGTCTCAGAAAAAAAAAAAAGAAAAAGTGTAGCTTTCAAAATCTCTCACTTTTCACTCTCAGAAACTTACTCTGGTTTTAGAAAAACGATTTCATATAGAAGAATACTATTTTAAGAAAATTTTTAATGATTATTAATTCTTAGATACTACAGTGAGGCAAATGTGGTTAAAACTTGAGATCTGTACTTGTTCCTTAGGTTTTTTTTTTTTTAAAAAAAAAGCAACTTAACTCTATTTACTGAATTGTCTCTTAAAGTTTTTTCCTTTTTGTCTGAAAGTTTATTCCTTTGATTTTTAAGTAGCCATACAAAAGTTAAAAAAAAATTCAGTGAATGTGAGATTATTCTGACTTTAAAAATTCATATGTATTAAAGAATGAATAAATAACTACTTAGGAAGCACTTATCCTAAAGGAATTTCTTTTTATTAATAAAAATAACAATGGAAATTGGCAGTAACTATCCACTGTAACTTATATAATTTTTTCATGCTTGTTATAAAAAAACCAACACGTGAAGCTATACATGAAGAAGCCAGACCTAATGGGAAAAAAGAACCTTCTAGATCATGTGAGAAATAAGGTGAAATTACAATTTTTATCCTAGCACAGAAACATGAAAGCTGAATAGAGTCAATTATAGGTAAAAGAAAGAACATTAAAGAAATTGCTGTGCATTCCACGGGATCATCAGCATTTTATGTCAAGTTTCAGAGCTGCTTTTAAGCTGAGAAATAATCCATATTACCTTAAATGAATATAACAAGTATGAAAGAATATGCATGAAACATATAGATATCCAATTTAATTTTGTTTTTCTTTGAGACAGAGTTTTGTTCTTGTTGCCCAGGCTGGAGGACAATGACACAATCTCAGCTCACCACAACCTCCGCCTCTAGGGTTCGTGATTCTCCTGCCTCAGTCTTGAGTAACTGGGATTACAGGCATATGCCACCATGCCCTGCTATTTTTTTTTTTTTTTTGTATATTTAGTAGAGACAGGGTTTCTCCATGTTGGTCAGGCTAGTCTAGAACACCCGACCTGCCTCTGCCTCCCAAAGTGCTGTGAATACAGGCATGAGCCAGCACACTGGGTTGACAGTCTTTAACAATAGAAGATTCTTCTCACTCTAGTCTTTTCTTTATTTTTCTCCTTTGAGTCTAGCTAGACTTACCTATTTGTCAGTTCTCACGCTGTCACAAAGATACTACAAGAGACTGGATAATTTCTAAATGAAAGATGCTTACTTGACTCACAGTTCTGCATAGCTGGGGAGGCCTCAGGAAACATCAGATCATGGCAGAAGGGAGAGGAGAAGTGAGTACTTTCCTTACCAGATGGCAGGAAAAGAGAGAGCAGGAGAAACTTCCACTTATAAAACCTTCCGATCGTGTAAGAACTGACTCATTATCACGAGAACAGCACGGAGGGAAATGCTCCTATGATCCAGTCACCTCCCAGCAGGTCCCTCTCTCAATAACCGGAGATTATAATTCAAGATGAGATTTGGATGGGGACACAAAGCCAAATCATATCAACTTATATTTTATATGCCTACAAGAAATGATGTGTTTTTTACACTCTGAGTATTAAATGCACAATGGCTAATACAAATTATTATAATACTGATTGAATAAATGAATATAATGCTGATATTCAACCTAA